TAAAAGCAGATTCATATCCATATTATTGTATATCAATCTCTCAGGGCATCTAGACTAATAAAAGGGTAATATGCTAATTAGACAGGGTCAACCCCACATCTTCTGGACGTGCGACTTCCTCCTGGACAAAGTCATGGTGGCGGGACCAAGGCAGAGGCGGTTAGGGGTGATCAGGCTAGCAGGGGAGCAAGAAGTTAGGGGTCATCAGGCCAGAGGGGGAGCAAGCAGTTAGGAGGCGATCAGGCTGGCAGGGGAAGGCAGTTAGGGGGCGATCAGGCCGGCAAGGGAGGGCAGTTGGGGGCGATCAGGCTGTCAGGGGAGGGCAGTTAGGGGCGTGATCAGGCTGGCAGGGGAAGGCAGTTTGGGGCAATCAGGCCGGCAGAAAGAGGTGGTTAGGGGTGATCAGGCAGGCAAGTGGTTAGGAGCCAGCGGTCCTGGATTGGGAGAGGGATGTCCGACTGACAGTTTAGGCAGTCGGACATCCCCTGAGGGGTCCCGGATTGGAGAGGGTGCAGGCTGGGCTAAGGGACACCCCCGCGCCATGCACAAATTTCGTGCACCGGGGACCTCTAGTATATTAATAAAAAGAGAGGGAATTGAATCCCAGCATGGGAACATTATAACATAGGGAGTTTGGCTACTTAGGGACACTGTTACCTCTTAGTTGAGTGACAATTTGCTGAAGCTCTCTAAGCCTGTTAACTTACCTATAAATTGGAGATAATATTAGTACCCCATTGGGGTGGTGGGATAATTTACAATCAAAGCACTATAAGGGTAGCGCCCGTAACCTTGGAAACACTAAAAAAAGTTATCATTATTTGGGTTGACAAACTGTCAGTTGGTAATGAGTTTGGAGAAGTAAACTATGCTGACTTCTATGGATACACAGTTGATCCTCGAACAACACAGATTTGAACTGTATGGGTCCACTTATACATGGACTTTTTTTCCAATAAATACTGTAAATGTGTTTTCCTTATGACTTTCTTAATATTTTCTTTTCTCTAGCTTTATTGTAGTTTAATAATATATATAATGTACAAAATATGTATTGTCTGTTTATGTTATCGCTAAGGCTATTAACAGTTCAGTTTTTGGAGAATCAAAAGTTATATGTGAATTTTCGACTGTGAGTGGGGTCACCACCCCTCAATCCTGTGTTGTTCAAGGATCAACTGTATTTACTTCCTCCTTGGCTTATGTTCTTTCTCAGTCTCTTCAAATCTTACCAGGGGCACATTTACTTATTTGTCTGAGCAGGCCCAACGTTATTTTAGTCTTGAGGACTATGCCATTCCTCATTCTATATCTCCAACCCTAACACCTGCAGGAAAACCATGCTATTGTGGAATTTGTAGAATTTGGGGAAAAGTTTTAAAATTTTATTTAGACGTCTGTTGTTCTTTATCTCACTAGACGTTTCCATATACAAATTTAATTTAGGCTTAGGGTATTTAAAAATATACTAGTATCTGATTAAAATTAATATTGTACAAATAAAATAGAAAAATCCAATTAAATTGTGTATCAGTTGACACAGGGTAACTTGGTTAAAATTACCTTAAAGCAAAATGGCAGAGAGACTGCATCCCCAAATATCTCTACTCATCACAGTCCCAAGACAATTATTAATTTTTTTCTCCAAGGATTTGAATATAAACACACAGAAGTGGACCTCTTATTTTGGTAAACATCCCTACAGGGATCAATTTATTTGGGAATGCTACCAATGAGGAAAAAAATGGAAATATGTTATATATTGAAAAAAATTCTTACTGAAATTTCTAGCTCTGAAAATTTGTATTAGATTGATATAATAACTTTCAAATGGGAAGGGAGAGTAATTTACCCATCTTTGGAATTGAAGCTTTGCTATTGATTGGACAGTGTGGTGCAGGGGAAAATTGAACTTAATTAATGCTTTATTATTAACTAGCTGAGTGGCTTGGATTAAACATTTAACTCTTTTGGACCTCAAGTCTCATATTCTTAAAATAAGGAATTTGAATTTGATAGTTTCCAAGGTTCCTTCCAGATCTAAAATTTCACAGTACAGTCAACATTCAGTTCACTTTAAGGAACAGTTAACTAGTACCTACTATTTGAAAGCACTGTACTAGGTACTAGGGATATAAAACTAAATGTAATAACTTTCCTGCCCTCAAAGGTTTATAATCTTATGGATTATTAAAATGATGGGATAATATTTATAGGATATTATGTAGTCATTTATACCTGCTTTGTTATTAAAAAACATGGGGTCAGAGAGGTTTAGCAGACCAATAATGAGCTTTGCCACTCAATCTTCAAGCTACAGCCGACCCACTACAAAGATCTGTGTAAATTACTATCTGTTTTTTTATTTGAAAATAATCATAAGGATTTAACTGAAAAAAACAACAACACAAAACCAAAAACCAGAGGCTGTGCATTCTATCCTTTTTTAGGGACACTCTATGCCAGAAGAGTGCTGGATGTTAGGGGCCAAGTAGCGGGCAGGTCCCTCATGTAGCTTAACTGTTGTCTACATACATTATTAAAAAGTTTGCTGCAAATAAATCCATATAGCAAATGGCTACCTAAGACAAATTAATTGTGGGCTTCTTTGAATTTTTGCAAAATAACATCTGTGTCTCAGCCCTTGAAGTATGATGATGATGAGTAAAATACCATACAAATATTACATATACAAAATATTATGAACTTGTATAAATTATATATAATTTATTATTTCCTAGATGTAGAACAGGTTGAAAACATAAATGGGATAAAGAATGCAGGAGCAGCTTTTCTGCTGAGAGTAAGGACAGAGATTTTGCAATTAATCTGTGGGACCAGGATGGCCTATCTCAGAGTCCAGAGGTACCTACCCCTCTCTGTAGGGCCCAGCTGATGCTCCGTCAGGTTAAAGGTCACCAAGAAGGATGATATTCGTGTGTTGAGAAGGAACCTGAGGTGGATAAGTTCAGGTTTAATTATGAGGTTCTATGATTAGATGTTCATAGATTTTTAAGTGTTTGAATGATAGAAATACCATAGATTATCCTATATAATAAAGCGGTAATATGCTAATTGACCATCACTCCAACACACAAGATGGCCGCCCCCATGTGGTCAAAGAGATTGGCAGAGGAGAGCAGTTGTGGGTAACCAGGCCTGCAGGGGAGGGAAGTTGTGGGGGAGGCCAGGCCTGCAGGTGAGGGCAGTTAGGGGGACAAGACCTGCAGGGGAGGCACTTAGGGGCAATTGGGCCAGCAGGGGAGCAGTTAGGCGTCAATCAGGCTGGCAGGGGAGTGGTTAGGGGGTGATCAGGCTGGCAGGTAGAAGCAGTTAGGGTCAATCAGGCAGGCAGGCAGGCAGGCCAGGCAGGTAGGCGAGTGGTTGGGAGCCAGCAGTCCCGGATTGTGAGGATCCCAGATTGGAGAGGGTGCAGGCTGGGCTGAGGGACACACACACACACACACACACACACATGCATGAATTTTGTGCACTGGGCCTCTAGTATTTTATAAATTACTAGAGGCCCAATGCACGGAATTCGTACAAGGGGTTTCGCCCGGAAGGTCGTCTGGAAGGTCATTCGGCTGTCCGGTCTAATTAGCATATTACGCTTTTATTATTATAGATAAGGCTGTAATTTATTAATGAGACATTACGGTATTATGAAGCCAGTGGTGTGGAACAGGGGAACCGGTTGGATTCTGTTCTTCAAATATCTTGTGTTTGGTGTAACATGACGCCCTGATTTGAAACCTAAATTTCAGAACTCCCGAAACTCTGAAGCCTTGGCTGTAGAAACCTAGCAACTAAACGACTTTTGTTCTGTTGGGGCAGGATCAGTAGGACGCTCCGGTGCCAGCTGGGGGGGCAGGGCCTCGGGGTACCGGGAGGCGGTGTACAGTGTGCAGTGATTGGGGGAGGAGGTCACTGAATCCTCCATGAATACCTCAAAACACCATTTCTCACGACAATAATGTGAGTGCGGTGAGTTGGTTTGAAAGCACTGGAAAAACTGGTCGGAACTCACGAAGATGGTGCAAATTCCTGACTTAGGAAACTCACTGGTGAGAAGTCACCTCCAGCTTGCCTTCTGGGCTGCCACCCAGCGCAGTGACTCCGGCTGTCTCAGCGGACGCGACCTGTCCCCGGAGGCTGGGGCCCTGCCGAGGGCGGCCGGGGTCCTGCATTTCCTCCACGGCTGTGCGGTCTGGAGCCTGCAGCTGGACGTGTGGATGACGAACGATGTCCGCAACCCCGAAGCCTTCGGAACAGCCCATCTGGGACGAAGGGGGAAGAAGTGCGTTAACTCCGGAAAAGCAGTGCACTCGGAAACGGCGAGAGACTGCCGTGCAAGAAATGGGAATTTGTTCCTCACCGGAGCGTTTGCCGGAAAGGAAGACGCGGCAATGCTTTATCCAGTGTCCGGATGCAGGAAACAGCCAGCAAGAGAAGTGCAAGTTCGGCGCGGACTGGGCTCCTGCAGAGGAGCCGCTCCGAGGCGTGCGTGGCAGGCGGGAGACCCGGACGCGATGCGCCCGGCACGAAGGACGGGCTGCCTCCCCTACTTCGGGCAGCGAGACCCAAACTGCCCCGACTGCGCCTGCCCTTCTAGGCTTTTCTGGGAACACTTCGCGTGCTTTGTTTCAGACGCCGACCCATCTTTCTTGGTTGGTCTGCAGCTCCACCAATCCCGCCCGCGACGAGGCGGAGCTTCAGGGTCAAGGTGGACCCAGGCCCCAGCCTCGCCCCTCCACGCGCTTTCAGACCCCCGGGGTTGAATGACAGCAGCCAGGACCAACCTGATCTTCCAGAGCGTGGTCTCCGCCAGGGGCGTTACGGGGACGAGGCGTCCGGACCAATCGCATTGGACTCCAGGGGGCGGGGCCTCTTGGACCGCTCCAGAACGGCGCGCTCTACACGCCTTTCGTCAAATGAGAGACGCGGAGGGGCGGTTCCTCAGCCGAGATTCATCCAATGGAGGAGGTGAGGTGGGCGGGGCCCGAGTGCCTGGCGGCGGGTCCTCAGCTCCCAGCCGAGGTGCGGCGAGCCGGTGGGGATACCGCGAGGCGAGCGCGGGATCCGGGGCGGCCAGCGGGGTGTGAGCTGTCCGAAAATGCACTCGGATGCTGCCGCTGTCAGTGAGTAACAGCGAGGGAGCGAGCGGGTCGGGGCCGGGGGGCTGCCCACACTCTCCACTCGGGTCTTGCAGTGCCTGCGCCTCCTGTCCTGAGGCGCGCGG